CATCTCCCGACTAACCAGCGATGCTTATTGATTGGTTCAAAAGCGAGTGCTTAGCTAAAACATGTGAACTGCGTAAAACTAAACAATTGATCTTGTACCCAGTGTGGACTGCCGATGTACTATTGCCATTGCTTCTACTAAACTTCCATTTGCAATACTGTTGTTCTGTTTCCGCTTGAGTGTTCATATACTCCACACACTCCTTGAGATCGGTTTGAGGTAAAACAATTTACTTATAAACCCTGCGTTTGTTTGGTGCGGCGAGTTTGGCTGCGACGAACAACATCTAAGGTTACACAGAAATGTCCACTACTCATCAGTAGCTCAACTGATTCTCACGTGGAGCTACCACACAACCAGAACTCAGCGCAACTTTAGTATTCACATACAGGTGATCCGTACTGAGACAAATACTCGGCATCGATTTGCTCTCCGCTAATCAGCCGCAGCCGTTGTGGATGTGGTCAGTATGGCAAAAGTCGACACAGTGCTGTGGACGACGACCGACATTATCTAAGCTATGTCGACTACCGGCTTCGCCTTTATTAACTTCCAATCTAGTGAACTGTGCATTGAAATCCTTAGAAAAAATGTGCTGCGTTTGTTTTAACCGAGGAAGTCGTATCGTTCACGAGATCATTTTTGTCCGAGTCCTGGCTGCTATCTGATATAACATAAGCCACCACATCATACAGCTTCCGTATAATGGCCTGTTTATTAGCTATTCGTGCAGAGCTTTCTAGCTACGTTGCGCTGAGTTGGCTGTCCACGTTTGAAAAACTAGCACTGCTCACGCGCGCGGTTGACGCAAGTCCGATGGCGGCCTTACTCGCAGCTTTTTCAGTTGCGTATCGACATAATGGTAGTGGGAATCTTCGCTTGGGTCATGCAGTTGCTGTCATTCATACCTTTATGCCGTACCCTGTTAACGTGTTCCAGCTCGGGTACAGATGTTGATGGTGAGGTTTTGCGAATGCGATCAAGCATGTCTGCGATCCTACCTGCCTTTACTTCCGAATAATGAAGTTCGTCAACTGGAATTGAGAACAAGACGCTGGAAACTCGATTGTTTGGCACATGGTCGATCTTGAATTGATCAATTGTCACTCAAGATGGCGCTTTGTTTGGGTTTCGGTATCGAAGGGGCTTTGCCGACGATCGGGGAGTTAAACAAACTGTAGTTACTGTGACTGATTTGACCGGCAGTGCATGTGCGGAGGAAATCTAAGACAGAGTGAAAGAATGAAAATTCAACGAGGTACGATGTGTATGGAGTGGTCATTTACTATATGTTATTGCATTCGAGAGGTGAACAACGTTGTGCGTCATGCTAGCGGAACAGATTTACCTTTTATCTCGCCATATGTAGCAATTCACATGCACTACTGCAACGGTTGCGTTTTCCATTGATTGCCATTGCGAATCAATTGTGGTACCTACCTGTCTCTAGTAGGGGTGTACCGGAATATCTGATGTCTCGCCTGGGAAATTGTATTAGAAAGAACTGATAATTAATTTTGGTCTCCTCGCACTCCACGGGGAGCATTGGGCCCCTGTTTGGCAAAGGAACAAACGAAAGGCGTATGAACTGATCAATCAGTCACCGGCTCCCAATGGGCGCGATTCCCTGAATTCGCTCCGCTGCCTTGCGGACAGGCTATTCAGCCAAAGGCTCGGGGTGGTGTCCCCTAAGTCAACACCCTACTTCGGCTTGGGCAACCGGGTAGTATTTCGCCCTCTGACGAAACCGTGGGCATTGTTGTGTTGTGTTGTGTTTTCTTTTACTATTTCTGTACCTTGTTTTGAGTTCCACGGTTTCCGATGGTGCAATGTCTATTCATAGACTGTTGCAAATATATATATATATATATATATATATATATATATATATACCTCGCACTCCATTAGCCATTAACTGTACATCACGGCGAATCCTCTGATCCATTTGTTTCTGCTTATGATTATGTTAACGAAACATTTGTGCTTTTATTCTACCAGATTAGCTACTGTTCTTTGGGTTTTCTCCCCTTCTGCTGCGTCTGTGACTATACACTTTATGTTCCCTGCTTCAGCCCAGCGTCCCTATACATGTGAACAATGTGGTAAATCGTTTTCTCAGAAGATTCATATGCAAATGCATCTCAAGGCAGTTCATCTGAGTGAGTGTTTAATTAGTCGTGTCAGCTATGTTAAAGTTTACTCCTTGAGTTGTGGTATCCTCTATGATGTCACGTAGCTTCGATTTGCTCAACCATATTGCTTACTCACGGTTCAGAGTTATGTAGTATCCACTTTTACGACGTGGCCACTGTGCCTAATGTTCCCTCGCAGCACAGTCGTTCATTCGAAACACATTTCCGTTGATCGGACTGATCGCAATTCACTTCTAACTGATTCGCAATCCAAATTGTGATTTTCTGTGTCGCCCCATTCGCACAACTGCCACTGTAAGCGAGCCAGCAACGTCAACAGCCCTTGGTCGATACGACGATTGCTCTGTTCCATAGTTTTTGTTCTCATGGTTGTGCTGCGCTATAAAGTTTATCCTCCTGTTCTGACAGATTATCCACTATTATCTGCTTTATTGTGCTTTATCTGAGACTATACAGTTTATATTCTCCTATTCAGCACTGCGCCCTTATACATGTGAAAAGTGTGGTAACTCGTTTTCTCGGATGAGCACTATGAGAAACCATCTCAATTCCGTACATCTGAGTGAGTTTTTTTATTTGTAGTGTCAATTATGTTTTGCCTTACCGCTTGTCACTGTTGATGATGTAACTTAGTTTCTGTTTGCTCAATTTTATTACTTGGAGCAGCTCCTTGTTTTGTACTTTTAACTGTTCAAAGTCATACATTGTTTACTTTTCCAAAATGGCTATTGTGTGCGATGATCTTTCGCAGGACATTCATTAATTTCAAAAGTACTGTCGGTTGCCGGTTCACTTACTGGTTCGCAATCCAAATTGTGATTGACTGTATCATTCCATTCCCAAAAGTATCACTCCAAACGATTCAACAACGATTTCCGCAACGCATTGTACTTTCTGTCTTCCGTAGAATTCGCTGGTGTAGCACTGAAGACATCTACCGACTATTTCTGCTTTTCCGATTGGAGTTTGATAGTGTTTCTCGTTAGCTGACTTCTGGGAAGATGCACGCAACTGTTGACGGGTAACAATGAATACACACTATGACACTTTTTCTTCCTATTCCAACAGATTATCCCGTTTTTTTTGGTATTTTCTCCATTATGCTTTCTCTGTGACTATACTTTGTGTTCCCTAATTCAGCACTGCGCCTCCATACGTGTGAACAGTGTGGTAAATCGTTTTCTCGGATAAGTAGTATGCGATTACATCTCAAATCCGTACATCTGAGTGAGTGTTTTATTTTGGTTGATGGTGTAACTTAGCTTCTGTTTGCCCAACGATATTGCTTCCAGCAACTCCTATTTTTGTTCTCACGGTTCAGAATCATGCAGTTATCAATTTTACGAAATAGCCATTATGTGTACTGATCACTTTCAGGACTTTCGTCAACTTCAAATGCACAGTCGGTTGCTACCTCACTTCTTAGCGGTTCCCAATCCAAATTGTGATTGCATGTCTCATCCCATTCCCACTACTATCACCCCAAGCGAGCCAACAACGATTTTCCCAGCACATTGTGATGTCTGTCTTCCGTAGAATTCGCTGGTGTAGCACTAAAGACATCTACCGACTATTTCTGCTTTTCCGATTGGAGTCTGGCTGTGTTTCTCGTTAGCTGACTTCTGGGAAGATGCACGCAACTTTTGACGGGTAACAATGAACACGTCAAGTGAGGTTCATGTAGTTCTGGTCGTCTTGGATTCGGTGTTAAGAATTAGTTACAAAGCAGTGTAGAACACGCTCGTCCGTATTTTGAACTACCGAATTCGGCTTCCCGACTAGTTGTCGGTGATATTCATCTAAGCGCTTCCCTGACTTCGCGGACAGCCACAAGACGTCCCCACCTGTACTTGAACTACAAATGACTATCGCTTCCTCACGAACTGTTCCATCCACGCCATGCGATTTCGTTGTATGTTAACGGGTGTCATGTGAATGTGAGTTACGATTGTTTGGGAGCTGGCTTGTGATGCTTCGAGACGCCCTTGGGGATTCGACCGTAGGTGCGTGCAGAGTTCAATGGCTTGACCCCAGGTGGATCCAATGACGAAGCTGGCCTCTTGACTCCGTTTGGTGAGGAACAGTGGATTTATCACGAATATACACTCAAACACCTAACAGTTTTCCGTAGTGAGATCAAAGATTAATCTATCAAAACATAACCGCATAACGGTAGAATTGCGGTTACATTTGTGCCTACATACCTTTTGGATAGTTTGTCGCGTGTCGCAGTAACTTGGGTGAAATCACCTTGCGCAAGTTGTGTAATGCATCCTCATGTCTAGCTTTATATTCGGATGATGGGGGAGCGGAAATGATAGTATGCGATGTAAGTAGTAGTAGTAGTAGTAGTAGTAGTAGTAGTAGTAGTAGTAGTAGTAGTTGTTGTTGTTGTTGTTGTTGTTGTTATGGCGGTAATAGTAGCTGTTGTTGTTGTTGTTGTGTTAGATAATAATAATAATAATGGTGGCGTTGGTGGTAGCAACACTACAGAATATACATGAAGTTATACAAAAGCCATGCAAATCACGGATTTACTTACCACACCATCAACATGACACATTCGCCGTAGGTAAGCAACTCCGCCGAACGGAACTTTTTGTCAGTTTTCAAGCACCATTTTCTCATTTTTCGTCTTTTCCATGGCTAAGAGTTAGACAGCTGAATCTGAACAAGTATGTGCGCAGATTTTCCGCGGGTTTCGATCGCGCGTCATATGCTGACTTGTTCCCAGCCATCGGCATTCTTCGTACTCAGTCACCAACCAGCCAGATGTGTTGATTCAACGACAGCAAGACGTGAAGTTAACGATTACGTATGCTATCGCCATGTGGACGACTGACTGCTACGTGGTCTCTTCCAACCAGGTCCTGCACGATGGAGAAAGCCGCACTGGTGCAAACTCTCATCTGACATCCGTAGGACGTTACCCAGCCATCTTAGCTGAGGCAGGAACACCAGCTTGTTGAAGGGAATACTCGCATTCCCAAAGATATGTAGTCTGCTTGCATCGTTGCGGATAAGTTGTTGCCACCATACACGAGCAATCCTTCTCAAGCACCCATTAACGATGGTCAAGAGCCGGCGCGTGTCATCTACGCGAATCGGCCACTATTCACTAGTGTGTAGCAACACGGCCCGACCTGTGACACTGTAAATACGACCCTTTACAAATAGGGAAACATCCATACGACACCACCAGTATTTCAGGTTGACGAACGCTGACAGAGGGAAACCTCATCCACAAGATTGCTCTCAGCAGACACCCAGCTACCCATGTATCCAAAACTGTCCAATAGTTTAAGTTGTGTACTTTAAATAGTGAGTACGGGAACGGGCTAGTGGTAACCTTGAAGCGGCACTTCACACTTTGACGGGTAAAAGCACATTCCATACTTAGATGCCTCAATCATCAAACGGTTTGGAGTGGTTTGCATGCTGTGAGTCGTTGTCAACTGAGATGATAGCATTGGCATAATCTAAGTGTGTCGCTCGCTTTCCTCGCAGTAGTTGCAGACTAAAATTTTGGTAACCGTGTAGAGCAGGGTTGTCCAAACGTTTTGCAATGTGGGTCACATTTCGTGAGGTAAAAATATGTCGGGCCATATTCAGTCTGACATTAAGATAATTACAGATTACACATGTACGAAGAAAGTTCAAGCCTGAATTTATTATTTACTGATGAGGCCGCAGGCCAGTTGAAATATTGACGCAAGCCCCATTTGGCCTGCTGACGGGACTTTGGACATCCGTGGTCTTGATTTTGAAAATTGATGAGGAATGGGACATTGGGCAGCCGTGTGGTCCACGGCTGTTGACAGCATATGATGACGAAAGCTCGGTATGTACCGTAACTCTGCCGGGGATGTGAAGGTAGAGTGCGGTTACGACGGCACTGTACGTTTCTGGGACCTCGCTCTTTAACTAGCAGATCGATCAACCGAGCCGAATGCGGCACGGATGTCTAGTAATGCAATGACGGTAGGTCTCTGGTAAAGGTAGCAGTATTTCAGAATTTGGCTGTGTGTAAGTATTTGATCCACACACTCGCGGTTAGACCTGAAGCCAGCTTTCTCTTCCTGGTACTGCGATTCACGAATGGGGATAGTCTACCGTGTGGAATGGATATCAGTGGCTTGCAGGCAACCGAAATGTGACTAATCCCTTGGTGATTGGTGTAGGAAGTGCGAGCATCCCTCTTAATGTTCTGGACATTAACTGATTCACCTCCAGAAGAAGACAGTTTTTTCTTCCATTCAGATTTTGGAGGTTAATTGGCGGAGGATAACTTCGCACACGTATTCGAACAGCTCCGGTAGGAAATCCGTCTAAACCGACAGCATTGAATCGTCTCAAGTGTCGAATCACAAGACAAATTTCCTCTTCGTTAGGTGGGTCAAGCCGGGTGGCCCCGTGCGGGCAGTTGGGTTCGCAGGGAGTAAAAGTGGACGGTAAGGGCCCATTTAACTGGAAACGAAATTGTTCGGCTCATCGATCCAAGGGTCTCAGTAGGTTGGCATTTGCTGAACCATAGGCTTCGCAACTAGTCTCATTGACACCAGGCTTTCCGAAGCCAGTATGTCTAATGAGCTGGGAGGGCTTGCGAGATTTGCCAGAGTGGGCAGCGGCCTCCATTTCCGAAGCATGTTGGTACCGCCATGCTTCACGGCCACTGCTTAACCTGTGTTTGAGCTGCTGACTGACAACGGTGCACTTCATTATGGTTGGAGTCCGCGGCGGTCAAATAGATCCAGGGATCCCCTCCAGATCCAAGCCCTCATATAGTGCTGTCTAAGACTGCTGACTAACTGCCAGGAAGAGATCATGGTCTTTTGTATGAACGTCCAATGTTCATCAATTTCTATCGGGGGGTCACAGCTTGATAGCTTAGCTGAACCGAGGGAGTAGATAATTCTTATGTATCCATCTTATAGTGCTTCGTTTTCCGTTACCCTTTTGAAACTCATGCAGATGTTCGCAAAGACATGAGCGTGGTTTGGGTCAACAAATATGGACGAGGTAGGTCTGCAATATTTCACTCTACCCCGCCATCTGAAACTGATTGCAATATGATCAATCTGAGACCATGTTTGAGAGCAGAAGCGGATTGCCACGTGGCGGAACGTCTCTTCAAATGCAGGAATCTGGTGCTGGAGTGAAATAAACGATTGGTGTCTCCCCATTATCTGAGCGGTTCTCGTTCAGTGCCTGGTGGATGCCGTGGTGACTTTCGCATGATAATAAGCGCCTGACCCTTACGTTGAAAATTTCAGCAAGTACAACTGTTTCGGATTTGCAAGCTTTGCTCTAGTGCTGGTGAAGTTCACGGGTAGAAGTCGTCTTTGGCCAGATGAGGACTGCAGTCGGCTTGGGCGTAAGCTGAGCTCACAAAACAAGGTTGCGTCTCGCTTCACGATATCGGTTGCTCCTGCTTGGTCTCCGAAACCGAATTGCAACCAGTCGGCTATTATTCTGGAACCAGTGCAGCAATGTGGTCCTCGACGTTGCTGTTTAGTGCTACACGGATGTCTGCCAAACCTGCCACATATGGTTTCTGTATCACCACATAACTTAGATGAACTATGGCTCTGTGGGTCGGTGGGAGATCTGAACTCAGTCATCAGTACTGGGATCTTGTAAGCCCGTTTCGGAAAGACAGCAAAATAAAATTTTTCACTAATAATGATAATGTCATGCGCACTTCACGCATATCACGCTGACGTACGACGACGTAGTCGAGCAGGTGAGCGTGACCACTCCTTGGGTGCGTCCAAGTTTCTATGCCACTTTTGCTCACTGCAACAGAGTGTCGTCAGGTCGTGAGTGGCACACAGTGAGAACACCCTGTTACCGTTCGCATTCGCTGAATCAATGCTGTGCGCACCGCTAACATCTCTACACACCAAGCATCAGCTTAACGCACGTTTGGAAATCTCCCAGCGGAAATGCTCGGTCGCTCCTCGGCACCCCACCTTATCACGAAGGATAGCTGATTGTGGAGTGATCACGCGTGTCACCAGGACCGTACGTGCTTATAAAGGTGGCAAACTTACCTCTTCCGAGTCGTAGGCGAGCACTTATCAGTCGCGGGCTGATGCCCGTTGGTTCACCCACCAGCTGGCCATGGAGGCTATCGGATATTGCTAATCCAACCCCATTGTTCACGTAGTGCTGAGGCGGGGTTGCGCACCCAGTAGAATGTGTAGCCAGCAACTGCTTCATGCAAC